AAAAGGTTTCTGAAGCAGTCAATATCTACCCACAGAGATTACTGTGTTTGTCATGTTTAATACGACGTATGTTCAGCAGATCTGAAGAGAACATATATCAATTTTAAAGCCTGGATAATCACCAGGACACTGCAGTTCTTATTGAAAAGCATAATTGAGTGTGTTCAAGTTTCCATTTTTTTTTATGCATTCCTCTCATTGCCTCACTAATACAAAATCTAATCTCATTTCAGATAAAAAAGTAGAAATTGATGAACTTTGCATTTTCCTGGCTGTTGCAAACCACCTGAACTTGACTAAAGACAATAATAAGTACACCATGAGCCGGCCCGTTAGACACCACACTCACCCTTTGACAGTAGTGCTTGAAATGAAAATCTATGCCATCTTAGATATGGTAAGTTGTACTTCTTTAGAGTTTTTTTAAATGATTTTTTTTCTTTAATTAACGTATTAATTTGACAAATGACATTTATTAAAAATAAATGTTGTGTGTGTATTTTCCATGCAGCCATTTAACAGTTAAATGGGCAGCCGGAAAGCTTTGCATACATGTTGTATTATATTTGGGACCACTGCGGTACAATTAAAAGAAAAATATTTTCATAAGCAATAACTTAGATTTGTATGTATATTGTATTTTTTTAAGCTTGACTTGTGACTTGTGACTTCTTTGTTGACAGAGGGAAATTGACCAGACTTTAATTTCTTACATTTGGGTTTCTTTGGTCAGTATTCTCTTCTTTTAAAATACACAATATTTTACTGAAATGTGGAAATTCAAATTATTTATTTGAAAACGTGTCTATTTGCCCTTTCTTTCTGTATTTCTCCTCTTATATATCTGGTACATCTTCATGGGTAGAAATGGAAAAATGAGTACATTTGGTGGGACCCATATCAGTTCTGTGGACTTAAATACATAACTGTCCCTACCGGATATTTGTGGATACCAGACATAACAATTGAAGAGATGTAAGTGTAATATATTTGCACATGCACTCACACTGACAGATCCACATGCAGTAATGAGAGAACATTCATTTATTTTTAAAAATGTCAAC